ACAGTACGCGAGCACTTGGAACACACGAGGTCGCCGCAGACGCGGCAGTGGTGGCGGCGGCGGTAAAACTTGAAGCCTTTGCCGCAGCATTGGCAGTTGGACCGCGCTTGGTCGTGGACCCATTGGTCGCGCGGGCAGGCGCTGCGAACGGGCGGGGCGGTGAGCGTCCTCTCCATGCTATGGGCGCTTGCTGGACTTCTCCCAAATGATGCACGCAGATTGCCCTTTCCGCGAGCAGAACACCGGATACGTGGTCATCCGGATAAAGAGCCAATCCTCGCGCGCCAAAAATCGAGCCCGCAACTTCAACCAATCACACGGCGCGAATCCAATCTTTTTCCGACCGCCGAATGCTTGTGGGATGCACCAGGACGACGCTGAGAAGCCACGACCACAGGCGCACCAAAGCAAGTGCACGCAATATACAGAGCAACCCACGCGCAGTGCGATGGCGTCCAAGGGATCTTTTGTTCATCCGTAAAACAACGCGTGGTAAAAACCTATCATACCGCGCATCCAATCGCGCGGCCAACTGCCTGGCCTCAGAGTCGCGCGGTGTCGATATTGGAGTGGCGTCACGCACGCTGAAAGGCCCATCCCCGATGGAATCTGACCCGTGCCAACGCCAGCAGTGCCATTTCCGAACCACAGTATATGATATGTTGTGATTCGTTACCGGAAAGGTCGTTTACTAACTATTTTTTCGTTTTACGCATCGTAAAGAAGTACGTCAATGGTTACACATCATATAGGACTCTGTCGAGCTCTGGAATACGCTGCGCGCAGGACGCTCTCAGAGCAATTAGAGTTGGCGACGAATTGCGATCAGAAGACAATGAGATCCGATTGGCGTTCACAGGCAGAGCAGCTCTGCTTTCGCGCTTTGATTTTAGTTTATCAAATGACCAGTCTTCGTCAAGAGAGTTCGTACGCGGCACTGAAACTGGCATTAACGTTACGGGTTGCTCTTCTCAGGAGGGTAGCAAAAGAGATAGGGTCTGTAAGAGTATGAGAGGGTGCGTCGGAACCTTGCATCTGAGATCTAAAGCGCGCACGGCTTTGACTCGTGGATGATGACGCGAACGAGGTTGACGCATCCCTTTTCAAGCCAACTTGACGGCGTGAGATCTACGCCAATTGTTGCACCTTAATGGTCACAGGACCACCCCCCCGATTATCGGTTTCTCGGCTGCCGACTAGCCAAGACGGTTGGTTCCTGATCACACAGATCGTGATAGACGCTCGCAAAGCACAGCTAGCATGCGGTGTTGAGCATCGTCGATCAAGACAATTGCGTACTCGTACGCAGTTTCGTTCTACGAGTACTACTAGTACAAGTTTGGACCAAGACGATGCTCAAATTTTGTCCTGTTCTGCAATCCCATACAGTGGATTCGTGCCAGTGTCCATGGTGCGATCTCTTTCACGCACCTACCCCTAGGTACAATCATCTGTGTCTCGGGCGCCTCCTGCCATACACAAGCGGGCCGAGTCCAACTTCTACAGCGCGCGTGAGCCAGGTGGCGAAACAAGGCGGCAGAGAGATGCCCGCAAGCTGGCACTGATCGCATTCTACTTTCGACAGCAAGCACATGAAGAGCAGTGCGTGTGGCGGTGGCATCCAAGTACGCAGCGCGTGCTCGAAAGCACTCTGGGTCCACGACCAAGCGCGGCCGCACTGCAACAGCTGCAACACCAAGTTTACGTTTCTGCGGCGGCGCCACCACTGCCGCGTTTGCGGCGAAGTCGTGTGCCGCAAGTGCACGCGCACCGTGTACCTAGTCAACACAAGCTCCAACGTCGGCTTGGCGTGCATCGAATGCGCCATCCCGCTCGCCTCGCCGCGCGCCACCAACGACTTTGACGAGCCGCGTAGCTGGGGCACGCGCCCGACCTGCCCGACGTTCTTGAGCACGCTCGAGCGCCAGTCGCTGGAGCAGCTGCCGCCCGAGACGCCCGAGTGCGCGCTATGCATTCGAGAGCTGCAAGGCCCTCGGCGGGTGCTGCAACTCCCGTGCCACCATGCCTTCCACGACGCCTGCCTCTTGCCGTGGCTCAAGACCCACGACGCGTGCCCAAGCTGCAGCTGCCAGCTCCCGCGCGATACGACGGCGACCGCCGCAAGCCTCTTTACGTAGTCTTAGTCTCTATAACTTATAAGGATGTAGCAAGTGCATGCGTCGATTTCATTCGAACGACACTGAATCTTGTCGTGAAGCTGCTTGAACCAGGGGCCCCTGGTTCAAGCAGGTACTAGCTTGAACCGAGGAAGTACAGAGTGAAATACCTGAACTATAAAGCCGTCATCTACGGCCTTGGCGCTGTCGGTGAGTTATGAATGGGGCAGCTCGGCGTCTTCGACCGGGCCCTGGATGAATGGGCCGGATCCTCGTACCGTGGTTGCAGTCGGGCCACGCGACGCACCTGCGGTACCAAAGCAACGCGCTTTGCCTCAGCGACAACTCGACACGTGGCATCGCGCTCTCTCTTGCACCTGGCCGTGATTGCTGACGACGACGAAGACCTCGATCCGCTGGTCCACGCCAGCGCTTTGACAACCTCTCACCCTTCAACATTCGCGTCGGGTTTGCCGGTCCGTTTGGTAAAGCGTCCTCGATCGCGTTAGCCCCGACGTGCTTTTGTCCCTCACCATCTCGTACAACGACGACATCGACGTCCTCCTCGAAATGCTGCAGCGCTTCTCGGCCCTCCAAGAGCTCAAGCTCCTCGGGACCGCGTTCGATGCAGTCGCACTACCGTTGACGGCCACGGCGCGTCCGTTGGCGCTGACGTCGCTTACGCTCCACGGCGTCGAGCTCTCGGCCAGCGCTCACCTTGCGCTTCACGCATTTCTTGCCAACGCGCCTGAGCTCCAGACACCGTCCTTTGAGGCCACCTGCAGTATAAACGATGATTCGTGCGATTCTATCGCATCTTCATGCGCCGACTGGATCCGCAACGGCGTGCATGAGATCGATTTCGTCGACTGCAAGGTCGCAGACGGCTTGGGGACGCAGCTGGCCTACGCCCTCCGCAGCGTGACGAGCCCGTTGGGCGTCAAGATCAGCTGGATCAGCAACAAGTTCAGCGACGACGACGACTACAGGGCGCTTCTGGACGCACTCTACACGTGCATCGTCCTCTTCCTGGATTGGAACTGGCCGCAGATGGCGACCAAAGCCAACAAGGGCCATCTTGCTCTTGACCACGTTCCGACGTCCAATTGCAGCGAAATCGAGGTCAACAATGGTACCAGGCCACGGACGGCAAACGTCATGCGTCGTCCCTAGTGCTCATGGCGCAAGGCATGTCTCTGGCTTACCTCTCTGTTGGCTCGTGCAACAAACGATGGTTGATATTGTCCAATATCATTTGGTGTTTCTTGTGCAGACGGTACCATGTCAAAACGAAAACGAATCGGTAGTCAAATGCAAATGCGAAAATTGAGATTTGGAAGGGTTGAGTTTCTTTGAGTTGAGTTTGAGTTTCAGAAAAACAGATTCGCCTTGCAGTTCGCCTTGCAGTTGCAGTCTTGCGTCGTCGAAGCATGAGCAACGCCAAGCGCCACGCCAAGGCGCCGACGCCCGTCGAGGCGCTCGACCACGTACAAGAGGCGATCGTCAAGTGCTTGGAGACGCCCGACGACGTCGTCGCCTTCCTCGACGCGCTCTCGCCGGACGCCCTTTGCGAGCGGCTTGCCGCCTTCTTGCCACTGCTTTGCGAACCGGGCGACGACATGTGGGACGCTGACGACGAGGCGGAGGCCCTCGTCCGGCTGTGGCCGAGCTTTGCTGGTCTGGACCACGTGCTCATTGGCATCCTCAAGTGGCTCAAGACATCCCAGGAGGTGCTTGCCTTCCTTGAAGGCATCGACACGCCGACGCTTGGCAAGCCGCTCGTCGCGCTTTTGCGACTGCTGCGCACTCCGCTGGACGTCATGGAGGTTAGCGACGAAGATTCGGCCCTGGACAAGCTGTGGCCTCTGTTGAAGCTGGACTGTGTCTGTGAAGAGTCCGCCGGTCTCGTCGTCGAAGCGCTGCCAGCCTTCCACTCCGTCGAGATGGGCGATCCGAATGTACTAGTAAGGACGTTCGCGCCACCTGGCTATATGCCGTGGGACGTGAGCGTTTGCCCGGTCGGGTCGCTTGTCGATACATACGGGCACAAGCTGACGCACCTCAAGATCGCCTACTATTACGAAGAAGACGAGGACTTCATGTGCTCGTTATTCCGGCGGTGCACCAGTCTGGACGTCGTTCACGTCGAAAATCCATGCGACTTGGCCTTCGTCGCGGCGGTGACGACACCAGCGCACGCCGTCTCGTCGCTGAGCATCGTAAGCAGTAAAGCCGCGGACGAGTGGGCTGCGGTCCTCGAGCCGTGGCTGCAGTCGGGCCACGCCAAGCACCTACGGTACCAAAACCTCCCAATTCGTCAGCGACCCCGCGGCTTGAACGTCGGCAACGCGCGCATCCTTGCCGCCGCGAGCGCGCTCTCGCACCTGACCGTGATTTGCGACGGCGTCGATCCACTGGTCGACGCCACTCCCATGCGTTTCGAGAACCTCGAGACCTTGAACATGTCTGTCGGGCATGCCGGCCCCTTCCTCGGAAGCGTCCTCGATCGCGTCAACCCAGCCGTGCTGACGTCGCTCACCATCTTTTGCGAGGATGACATTGACTTCCTCCTCAAAATGCTGCCATGCTTCTTAGCCCTCCGAAAGCTCAAGATTCTCGGTGGCGTTTTTGCCGAGGATGCGCAGCCGCCAGCGGCCATGGCGCGTCCGTTGGCACTGACATCGCTGACGCTCCACGACGTTGAGATCTCAGGCAGCTCGTTCCTCGCGCTGGATGCGTTTCTTGCCAACGCGCCTCGCCTCGAGACGCTGTCGTTTGGGAGCAGCTACTATCGGGGCGAGTCTGTCGCATCGATGTTGCCGGGCTGGATCCGCAACGGCGTGCGTGAGATCCATCTCGCCGACTGCAAGTACCCCAAGGGCTTTGGGTCGCAAGTGGCCCGCGCCCTCTGCGGCATGACGAGCCCATTGGGCGTCACAATCACCTTGGTCGGCAGCACGCTCAGCGACGATGACTACGAGGCGCTTCTCGACGCTCTCGCGACGTGCACGGGTGTCGACCTCGTCTTGGATCCGCACTGGCCGCAGCTGGCGATCGAGGCGGCCAAGCGCAACCTTGCTCTCGACGGCAATTTCATTCTGAAGTACGACTTCGACGAGATCCAGCCGTTCGAGAGCGAAGTTGACCTAGAAAATAACTACGATCCGCTGCCCAAAGGCCGTTGCGACGCCGTCCGCGTCATGCGTCGTCCGTAGTGCTCATGGCGTGTCTCTTTTGGTTCGTTTCCTAAACAATGATTGATATTTCCCAATGGCACTTGATGTTTCTTGTGCAGACATCGTCTTTTGCCTTATGCGCACCGTCCATTGAACGCCCTTCTTGGATCTCCCACCAAGCAAATCCCGTTCGATTTGCGTTATTTGGTCTTCTGGTTGGTCTCGGGGTGGAGCACTTGATACAAAAGCAGCGACGTCGCCGCGGCAAACGAGAGACCTCCGAGATACCCCACGAGCTCTAGTCCGTTCCAGTGGGTTGCGCTCGCATGAAAAAAGCTGCTCAGTTCATAGCCAATGGCCGGAACGAACGACGACGCCTTCCAGCGCATCGACCGTGGCGACGTCGGGCGCGGAATGATGTTGCGGTCG